GTCGTGAACATTACACAGGTGTGTCTCCTCAGTCGTGAACATTACACAGGTGTGTCTTCGCAGTCGTGAATATTAGACAGGTGTGTTGTCTCAGTCGTGAACATTACACAGGTGTGTCTCCTCAGTCGTGAACATTACACAGGTGTGTCTCCTCAGTCGTGAACATTACACAGGTGTGTCTCCTCAGTCGTGAACATTACACAGGTGTGTCTCCTCAGTTGTGAACATTAGACAGGTGTGTCTCCTCAGTCGTGAACATTAGACAGGTGTGTCTCCTCAGTCGTGAACATTACACAGGTGTGTCTCCTCAGTCGTGAACATTACACAGGTGTGTCTCCTCAGTCGAGAACATTAGACAGGTGTCTCCTCAGTCGTGAACATTACACAGGTGTGTCTCCTCAGTCGTGARCATTASACAGGTGTGTCTCCTCAGTCGTGAACATTACACAGGTGTGTCTCCTCACCTGAGCAGGCTCAGAGGCATGACACCTGGAGACTCGGAGGCGGGGACGGTCTCKGTGTCTGTGACCGGGGTGGTAGCAGTGGTGGTGTCCTCCAGGGAGGAGCTCATGAAGGAGGTGGTGCTGGAGGCCGAGGGGCTGGTGGTGATGGGGGTCTGGGCCAGCTGCTCCCCCTCCTCCCCCTCCCCCCCTTCAGGCTCGCTCTTCACTCCTGTTTCAGAAACAAATGAAGCTTCCAGCTGTCCGCTRAACCACTGCGTTAAACCAAACTTACCCAGCTTGACCTTGGAGCTGCCGGACTCGTCCAGCAGCCCGTTCACCACCAGCTTGTAGATCATGGCCTGGGCCCGCTCCAGGTCGGCCAGGCCCAGCGCTCGCTTGATGGGGGAGCGCATGACRGCCCGCTTCACCATGTGTCTCATGAGGAACTGCAGGGCGGCCCTCATCTCCACCTCCTCCTGACTCACAGGAGAGGAGACCGCCGCGCTCCCACCACTGTTCAGGTCAGCGTTGTGTCCGCTGGGCACCGCTTCAGGTAACACCTGGAGGCAGRCAGGTAAGAGGAAATATGATATTATATTTAAAAACAACAACTCAGAATACATTAAAAACAAGAAGAAAAAACTCGTCTTTATTAAACGTTTGAAAAGACTTTGGTCACGTTGAACAGGTTTATGTGGTGAAGTTATGACATCACTGATTCAGTCTCTACAGGAAGTTGTAATCACAGCTACTAGTTCAAGTTTAAGAGTTTTCTGCACATTTCAGGGTTGAAGATAATGTATCAAGGTCATATAGTCGTATCAGTGAGGTTCTCAGAGACCTGGACCAGCTGTGGTCTCAGTGAGGTTCTCAGAGACCTGGACCACCTGCGGTCTCAGTGAACCTACCTTGGGGATGAGGAGCAGCTCAGCGTACTTGCTGCAGCTCAGCAGGGCGCTCAGGGTCTTCATGGCTCCCAGGTACAGGTAGGACAGCTGCACGGCGTGGATCTCTGACTGGGTGCTGATGGAGGCCGGCTCGTGGCTGCGGGGGCCGTGCTCGTGGCCCTTCTTCCTGCCGCCCTCGGCGTGAGGAGCTGTGAAGAGGCTGTCGCTGCCGGCTACAGAGCAGATCTCACTCTCAGACTTGGAGTTGGGCGTGGTGTGGGACTTCACCTCCTCCAGGCTGTGGGACACCCGCAGCTCAGAGGCAGGAGCCAGAGGTCCAGTTCTGTCCTGGTCCTGACGGTTGTGGCCCTCGCCCTCCAGCTTCTCCTCGGCGCCGGTCGGCTCGTGGCCCGTGGAGGCAGCGTTGCGGTGCTTCCTGTCGTGGCGCCGTGCGCTGAGCTTGGCGGCGGTCTCCTCGTGGATGCTGGTCAGGTAGGTGAGGTCCAGCAGCAGCGAGGCGGTCAGGCCACGGAAACGGCCCACGTCGAACGGCAGGGGCTCGCAGGGCTCCAGGTTGTACAGCGGGGTGTCACTAGGCGACCAGAAAGTTGGGAAGCTTTAATAGGAGGAAGTGGAGTAAAAAGGAGACAAGGAAATACAAAGTGAGGGAAGAGGGCAGGAGAGAAGGAACACAGCATGCGAGACAAATAAAGACACACAATGTGAGGACAGGAGAGGGGACGAGCAGGTGGGAGGTCCTGAAACACCACAGCTTCACGTCAGCAGATGGTCTTAATGTTTTTATAAACAAACATTCCTGACAAATACTAAAATACTTTTTAAAATGTTTATTTATTTTGTCTGAATCCTTTCAGATGCTCCAATAAACACTGTGGGCCCTGGAACATGTATGGTGTATGTTCACCCCACATGTGCAGCTTCCTGCTGACAGACAGCATCAGTGTGTTTATTTAATATTTCACTGACATCATCAGTTCCAACACTCAGATTCTTTTCTCTGTCCTTAATCTCACAGTTTCATCTCTGAACTCTCTAACCCCCCCTCATGTCATTCTTCACTGAAAAACTTCGCTCCATACACCAACATCTTTACAGAACTCCCACCCCCCCTCCACCCCCCTCTCTGTCTTCACTCTCCCCTCTGCTGCTGACGTCTCTGCCATCATTAGGA